GGAAAGCTACCCGAAGGTATGAAATAAGCGTACTCCCCAGGCAAGTTATAGTAGGTAATGAGGGATTGGAGCCCCTCGGGCGTCATGGTCGAAAGACCAAACTTGTCTAACATCCGACCCCGACGAGAGGTGGACGCCAAACTACCCGAAGCGCCTCGGCCTACGAGTTCGAACTCTTCCTCGGGTTCTACCTCCAGCTCGCTAGGGCTATCAGGGGATGCAACTCGGTTCGTAGAACTTGCATCAGACCCGCTGAAAGGACTATCTGAGCCATCCAAGCTAGACATCGGGGAGTGAGATGGGATCCAGAAAAGTACTCACCCGGAAAAAGGTTGTAGACCACAGGAGCTCGGACAAGCGAAAGACCTTGAACGCGAACTGAAAAGACCTGGACGCGAACTGGATGCGTGCTGAAACTCAAACGCGAGCTCGAGAAAAATACAGAAGTGGCAGCAACTGGGGTCACCCCCAGCTATTTATACTCACAGTGACCGAAAAGCGACGGCTTAGATCAAAGCCAATCCGATGGCCTACAGCCGCACTAACTGGACGTCCCCGGAGAACGAGACGTGATTGGCGCACGTCTTTCTGAAACTGACAGAGCGCCGGCGCACATCTTTTCGAAACTGACGGAACGCCAGCGCACGTCTCCTCAATAAAAGCGGCAGCAGCACATCTTTTTCAAATTTGAAAAGACGCCCGCTATCGCGCCTCTCGAGTGGCGTGCTTTTTTGAAATTTTGAAGTAAAGCGCGCGTCGCCACATCCATCAGCGTTTAGGCAGGCCGGTGCGCTTCCCGCCTTTTAGACGCTCGAAGAAACCCAAGGAACCCTGACAACGCACCTCGCGCCGTCAGAACCGAGATTCAAAGTGCAGGGCAAATCTACCTGACACCTTGCGAACTCCCCGCACCAGGGCGAGACCCTTAGCACAAGGAGTGGGGGGCAATTGATGAAGGAAGATTTGGCCCAACCTCGCAATTACGCCACGTGGCAAAAAAAAAACAAGTAGCTCGGCACTTGAAGCAGCGTACCCAGGGTGCAAACACCAAAGGGAAGAGACCAGTAGTCCGAACTCCCCTCGAGGAGACCGAAC